ATCAATTCTGAAACATTTTCATTTTTACAGCCTAAAATTATGCCCGTATTGGCATTTGTTTAAATGTGTAATATTACAGTTTTCATTCAAGCATTGGTGTAGAGCCTAACCTTTTGTTATGGATGAGATATTTAGATTTATAATCTGGAAAATCTATTTTCCTGTTATTGAAAAGTATATATATACATATATATGTATATGTACTTTTATATGTGTTTATATATACATATATATAGTAAAAAAGTATATATATATTTATTTGAACAAATATTTTGGCTCCTGTTTTTGTTCTTCTTAATGTTGTCCTACTAAAATTACTTAGTCATATATCTTTCTACTATCAGTAAGACAGAAACAAAGTAACAAGGGATTTTATTTTATTTTTCTATTAAACTGAAGACAGAGAAGTTTGGTATTTCTTTTTACAGAATATGGCAAACTTCAAAAAACAATCTATTTCCATGAAGATATTTTCCCCAACTACAGAAACAAGGGATAATGTATACACTAAAAATATAATGGCAAAAAGGGCACAGCATTAAGAGATCACCTTATTTTCCCTTCTAGCACATCTAAAACATCCATTAGCCCTTAAAATGTCCTATTTGCAAGGATCAGTTTCCTTGTATTTCTTGGTCGAATGATCCTTTACTTTTACTATCCATTTGCTGAACGTGACAAATTAAGAAAATGAAAGATAAATATGAGATGAAGACCTCAAACGACATCAATTTCATAGCCTCTGGAAAATTGTGATGATGAATGTTTCCACTACTCAATCAAGGATTTATGAAAAAGCATATATACTTTAAAAATGTAGGGATGCTTATACAAAGATGTATGTATTTACACTTACTTCTTTAGAAAACTGCTATAGTTGAAGGATTTCGTTAATAAGTTATTGATTCAAATATTTTATGCCTTCTATTTCATATTTTTTAAAGGTTTATAAGTCTAGATTCCTATGACAATTAGTGATTTTTCTACCAAGGGTTCATATTTTATTGCTTAAAGGCAAGTAATTATTATTTTTTATTTAAATAAATAAATATTAAAAGGAGGAAAATATTTCAAAGTACCAAGATTGGGAGGTGTCTGAGAGATTTATATGTATAGAGAGATTTATATGTATGAATGCTAGATAGTTTATAAACCAGCTTATTTTTTAATTAAAAAACTTTCTACCTTGCAATTTAATTCACATGATCTACATTAGCTATTCCATATTCAAAATTTCATTGATAAAAAATTTCTTTCCAGTAGTCAATATCGAATTGTACACTGATGATGTGGTGTGCTAATCTTTAAAATATGAAGATTTGATTGAGTAATTAGTGCCTCTAAAATTATGCTGACTTATTGGAATTATCATATAGGAATTGTTTTGTAATGTGTGTGTGTGTGTGTGTGTGTGTGTGTATATATATATATATATATATATATATATATGTTGGTTTTTTTTTGAGACAGAATATCAGTCTGTTTCCAGGAGGCTGGGGTGCAGTGGTGCGATCTTGGCTCACTGTAACCTCCACCTCCCAGGTTCAAGCGATTCTTGTGCCTCAGCCTCCTGAGTAGCTGGGATTACAGGTGCACGCCACCACACCTAGCTAATTTTTGTATTTTTAGTAGAGACGAGGTTTCACCATGTTCCCCAGGGCGGTCTCCATCTCTTGACCTTGCAATCTGCCCACCTCAGCCTCTCAAAGTGCTGAGATTACATGCATGAGCCACCCAGGCTGGCCTGTATATGGTAATTTAATGTGATTTCTTGATACTTAGGATATATGTAAGTATAAATAAACAAATTGGAAATAAAGTACTGATATAATATTCTATGAAAGTTTCAAATCTTTACATTAAAGATTACAATTTGAATCAGAGGCAATGATAGGATTTT